CAGCCCTTTGTATTCTATTTTGAGACAAGGTCTCACTAAGTTACCCAGGATGGCCTCAAACTTGAGGTCCTCCCCTGCCTAAAATGTTCCAGTGACTTCCCACTGAGCTGACAGGGTGGGCAAATTACAGCCCATGGGTCAAAGCCAGCTGGTCCTGTTTCTGAGCAGCCCTGGACAGAGCTCAGGTGGCTACTATGATGGTGAGACTGGAGACCCTGCTGGGGTGGCGGCCTCTGCCTCTGTCCACCCCAGGCCACCCTCCAAAGCATGTTCATCACCACCTCCAAGTTGGAGCCTCCCTTCAGCCACTGCTGGGCGCTGATGGGTGTGACCTCCCTTGGGAGGCAGCAGCTCCCATGCTGCCTGGCCTCTGGACGGCCACTGCAGAGGACAGCCAGGCCCTGCCCAAACACTTTGCTGGGATTTGGTTGTTACTGGAGCAGAGAAGGAAGCTGCATTGAGGGCCAACTCGAAGCTCCCAAACTGCCTGCATTTCAAGTGACCCTTGGACATGTCACTCTGGCCAGAGTATGACTCCAGAGTCAGCACCCAGTGCACCCAGCCCTCTGGGCGCCTCTCCCCCCGGTGGCAAGTCTGAACCCCCCTCCCTGGTTTTCGTCATAGCCTCAACTTTCCCCCCTCCCCCCCCCCCCCCCCCCCCGCCTTAAAATAGTAACTCTCTGGCTCTTATTAGGCAAACCTTGCTTTCTTTGTCCTTAATAGATCCTTGTGGTCTCTACCTGGGGCTTTCTTGGTCCTCTGGCTCATGCCTTTTGGGTCACTCTGCCCAGGCATCTCCAAGAGGGAAACAATCTTCTCTTCCCTGGATGTCTTGAGACAAGTTCCTCCTCCTCATCTGGCCTTGACACAAGAGACCCCACTTCAGAGGAGCTGTCCCTGATCACCTGTGTTGGCCAAGGGTCTCCAGAGAAAGATACAACAGGAGAGAGTAAGATAGACAGAGAGACAAAGACAGACAGAGAAACAGGGAGAGAGACAGAGACACAGAGATAGAGAAAGAGAGACAGGGAGGAAAAGAGAGAGGGACAGTGACAGAAAGAGAGAAAGAGGTAGAGGTAAGAGAAAGAGCAGAAACAGAGACAGACAGAGACAGGAGAGAGCTGGACAGGGAGAGGTCCATGTATTTAAGGAAAGAGCTCCCAGGATGGTGGGTGTGGGTAGGCCTGAAATCTGCAGGGGCAGCCAGCAGGTGGAGGCCTCTGGGAAGAGCCCGAGGTGCGAGGTGCGGCCTTGCATCCAGGAGCTGGGAACGGAGGCGGAGCTCTGCCTCCTATGTCATGGCCTTGAGGCAGAAGCCCTTCTCAGGACACCTCAGTGTAGGCTCCTCAGGTGACCGGTCATCTCCGACCCTGCCACCCAACATCATCCAGGGCCAATTCCTGACCTGCAAGTCCACTGAGATGCGAATCCCACCACAAAGACCTCCCCAGCCTCAGTTTTGGTCCTGGTCACTGTGACCAAATGCTCCACCCAGCTGGGACAACCAGCCGGGACAACCTTTCTGGTTGCCCTCCTCCATTTCTGTCTGGCTGAGTCCCTTCTGTCCTCCTTCCCCCCTTTCAGAAGGTCAGGTTCACAAGATCCCTCCTGTGCTGGTCACAGAACTGTGCACAGCAACCCCCAACACCCCCGAGGGTTAAAGAAATGAATACAATGGCCCCAACTGAAGCCAGGGTTTTGAGGTGAAGCCAGATCCCCCTTCTGCTGGCAGATGGGTTTGAGCAAACTGCGTCTCGCAGGTTTCCTTCTGGGGCCTTCTTGTCCAGCCAATGTGAAGAATAAAACCCACAGACAATAATGAAAGGGGAGGTTGAATGGAGCAGGAGTCATGACCTGAGAAGAGGGAATTCCCGAGATGCCGAGGGAACTGATGGTGTTACAGCACTGGGGCCTTCCGGGAAACTGAGGCAGCGCAAGACCCCCCCACTCAAGCCCCGATGCTTTCCATCAATTCAGAAAGATTTCAGACATGTCACCCAGAGTAACAGGCATGAGTTTACTGAAGGTTTGGGAAAAGGGAAAGGGGACATTCTCAAGGGACAGAGAGGAGATGGACAACAAGCCTCGTCTGCACCCCAGATTTATTGGAAATCCACAGAAGTGTCCAGAGATTTCCCCCACATCTGCCTCTTGAGTTTTGATTGACAGCAGGATGACATCAGACTTCCAAATCCCCATGCTGACCCTTTCTAATAGGATTCTTTTTAAAAAAAAAAAATTAATAGCTGTAGATGTTCGGTGTGACTTAATTTTATTTATTTATTTTTATGTGGTGCTAAGGATCGAACCCAGTGCCTCACACATGCTAGGCAAGCATTCAAACAGCCCCTCTAATAGGATTCTTTTTTTTTTTTTAAAGAGAGAATGAGAGAGAGGGAGAATTTTAATATTTATTTTTTAGTATTTGGCAGACACAACATCTTTGTTTGTATGTGGTGCTGAGGATCGAACCCAAGCCGCACGCATGCCATGCGAGCGCGCTACCGCTTGAGCCACATCCCCAGCCCCTCTAATAGGATTCTTAACGCAACATTCTTAGAGATATTATGGGGAGAACTATTCTTATATCCTGAAGTGCCAGGATCTGGTCTGTGGAAAGAGTCACAGCCGTCTTCCCCTTCGGGGTAACTTGGGTTCCTCTTGTCAACCTTATTTCCGACCTGCATTTCTACTGCAGATAATAGGTAGTTTCCTGGGGAATGTGACATATCCTGTCCACTAAAGTCAGGCAGGGCTGCAGGTCAACTGCTTCTTGGGAAACAAAGGCATCCAGGGCTGAGCACAGTGGGCTCGCTTTGTGGAATTAGTCCCTGAACCTCGAGTTCCCACCACTCACGTCTGTCAGCCCCTGGCACAAGCAGGGGGGCCGCGAAAGTGAGAAAGAAAAGGACCCAGAGAAGGACAAGGAGGTGGGGGGTGTGACAGGGTGAGCCAGGGACCCAGGGAGAAATGAGGCACCAGGGACCCCCTTCACAGAGCCTCTGGCATTTGGGGGCACTAGGAAGTGCCTAGGGCCTGTGAGGTAGTATCCCCCATGTTCCTGGATTGGGAGGTGGGGCCTTCCTGGACTTGGAATTCTTAGGGGGAGGGGAGTACCCTCTATTATGGTTTGAGAATGGCATTCATTAGCCCAATGTCTCTCTCTACAGCATTGTGGGCAAATACCCGGTATTCTACTCCTTTGATACCTAGTTATATTAAACCCTCCTCCTATGGGGCAATTCCTTTTAAAATGTCCTGTTTGTTCACAATTGTAGCATGTTTTTGGCCTGGCATCTAAAACCTGTTGTACTGCAGCTGCCAAGACTTGCCCTTGTTCATTAATGTCTCTACATAATTTAATATGTGTTTAAATCTTCATGTTTCCATGGTCTAATGACCTCTCTGCACCAACGATTTGCTTGCTCATAAGCCAGTTGTTTTATTAATGGCATTGCTTGTTCTGTATTCCCAAAAACTCTGGTAGCTGTTTGAATAAGCCTATCTACAAATTCAGCATAAGGTTCATTAGCTCCTTGTGTAACCTTAGATAATTGACCTTGTAAACCTCCATGTCCTTGTAAAGTCTTCCATGCCCTAACCACATCTGCAGCAATTTGTGAGTATATGGCAGGATCATATGCAATTTGTTGCTGCTGATCCTCATAAGGTCCCTCTCCTAACAACATATCTAGATTTCTCTGAGGATAACCGGCTGCTGCATTTCGCCTAGCCGTCTCCGTGCAAAATTCCTCATTGGCAACCTTCCATAACAGGTATTGTCCTCCATTTAGCACAGCTTTACACCTACTAGTCCAATCTGCTGGCGTCATGTTCAAGTTGGTAATGGATTCCACCATGCTTACAGTGAAGGGTGCTTGAGGACCTTAGGTTGTTACAGTCTCTTTTAGCTGCTTCACTGTTTTGAAATCTAAAGCATGGTGAATTCGCTGCCTTTCCTGCCTGCTCAAATACAGGGCATGCTAATATTTGAGGTCCTGTCTCAGGATCCCATCTATCAACTACGGGGGTTGGGGGCCTCCCAGCATATGGAGGTGGCACTGTTGGTTGGACACTTTACACCCTCTGGTGATAGAAAGGTGTTAGTAGCAGTCTCCTGTTGTAACGTTTCCCCTGATGGCTTTTTCTGCTCTAAACTTTCTTCCTCTGTCTCACTAGCTCAGGAGACCTTCTCTTTTACTTGAATCTTTTCCTCTGTCTGACTAACTCGAGAGACCTTCTCTTTTACTTGAATCAATATGTCTTCTCCTTCCTCTACCATTGTCTGAACTGAAGGCTTTGGACTAAGCAACCAAGATACCAATGCCCACAATGGCAATGTGCCAACTGGCAGAGTCCCTGGGCTTTTCTTTTCTATTCTTTTTAAATCTTCACCATGATGGTTCCATTGTGATATATTTAACAACTCCTCCTTAAAAAGCCATGGGCTACATTTTTGTATTGTATCAACGTATGCCCTGACTGAATGTTCTTGATTTTACTGAGATGCCTTCTTCCTCTAACAATTTACTTAACAGTCTTTCGGTTTGATTTTTACTAATTTCTGATCCCATATTTCTACTGTAATGCAACCCAACAAGCTGACGCCAAATAAAACCGAGACAGAATGAAACAAAAATGGAACAACACAAAATCATTATATCAGCCTTTCTATCCTCCTGAAATGTCCATCCGTCCTTTCTCCCTATCTGTTCCTCAGATGTGAGCGGTTTTTCTTCCGTCTCACTCATCTCCAGGGACAGGCAACTTAAAACAAAAGCGAAACAAAAGGAAAGAAGAATCTTAAAATGGCTCCCCATCCTCTCGCCCTGCCCTCAGGGGCGAGCAGTCTACCTTCTCACTTACCCTCAGTCCTTCCCGCGCGGGCCACCAAATGCGTCAGTCTGGCTGGGCACAATTCACAAGCCACTTGTGAAGCACAAGCGAACTTTATTTTTAGAACACACACCTCACCACTGGAGCTCTACAGGAATTCTCTCAGAGCCCAACTGCCACCACAGGCTTCCCAGGAGCCGCTCAACCTCCCACTCCTCCTGCTCTTGAGGCTGATTGGCTGGGTTATGTGGGCGGAGCAAAAAAGTCACCCAATGAGCAACTCCGTGGTCTGAAAGGGCGGGGAAACAGCCCAATGAGCATCCCTGCAGAGGAGCCAATCAGCTGGCAGCTGGAAGCTTGCTGGGGCCACCATGAGCCAATCAGCTGGAAGTTTGCTGGGGCCGCTGTGAGCCAATCAGCTGGAAGTTTGCTGGGGCTCCTTCGGCTGTGGCTCTCAACAGCTGTACACCCTTCCTCCCAGAGCAAAGGGACTTCCCCAGATGACCTCAACCCTGGCTGGATGCCAGGATCCCACCCATGCCCAGGCCCTTCCCAGAATTCAGATTTCAAGGGACTAGATGTGCACTTTGAAGAGGCACTTGCCATATAAACACCCCCACCCCCACCCCTACCCTGCCCCACTGTGGCTGCTGCTCCCAACAGCACTGGTGAGGCTGTGACCTCAGCAGGCCCAAGCTCCCTCCCCCTTGCTGACTCATGTCTTCCCCTCTCCAGTCAGAAATACCTCCAAGGCCACCCACCTGCCAGCAGCCCCTGACCGCCCCCTCTGGGCACAACCGCCTGCGCATCTACCCTTGGAGCAGTCACTAATCAGTTCTGGCCCTTTACTAAGTGGGGACCAAGAGGGTGGGGTGAGCCTGGAGCAGGGCCAATGGCAGGCCTGTGAGACCTGCAGATGAAGGGCAGACACAAAGGAGACAGGTGAGCAAGAGGGCAAGGTGCAGGTGGGGATGAGGGGACAGGCAGAGCAGCCTGTGGTGCTGGGAAGAACAGGTGAAGCTCAGAGGAAAGGGCTCCTAAAAGGTAAATGTGACCGAGAATGTGGGTGGGGACTTTGGAAAGAGCCCAGAGAAGAGATCCAGAGAGGGCTGAGGGTGAGGACCCAGAGGGCCATGCAGAACACAGACACCTGCAAAGGTGATGCAGGTGAAGATGTTCAGGACGGGCCAGGTGAGGACAAGCAAAATGCAGGTAGATATGGCTGAGGGTGCAGAGGACAGCACAGGTGGGGGTTCAGCAGGGAGCACTGGTCAGATTCAGTGAGGACACAGGTAAGCAAGCAGGTGAGAACTGGGTGCAGAGGCGGGGGCTGCTGGCGGGAAGGGGGTGAACATTCAGGTGAGGACGCAGCAGGAGGGCAGGTGAGTTAGGGCTTACTTCAGATGAGGTGCAGGGCAGGCTGCGGGGTGGCAGGAGACCCCTGGAGGGAAGGAGGTGGGGAACAGGGGAGACGGCAGGTGCCCCTTTCCTCTCACAAAAGACTCCAGATTTGGGGAGACGTGGAGTACAAACGAAGCTTTATTGGAGGGTTGCGGGGTGGTCAGTTGGGGCAGCCAAAGACCACCATGCTCTCGGCGAAGGCGCCCAGGTCCTGGCACTGTTTCTGGTTCTCCTCGTCCTGGCATTCTTCTGCCTCTGGCCAAATCTCCACCCAGGTGTCCTTGCCAATGATGTAACGGATGCTGGGGGAGGGGCGGCAGGTCAGGCGGGGCGGGGACAGGGCCGGGGCGGGGCGGGGCGGGGCGGGGGCGGGCCCGGGGCGGGGCGGGGCGGGGCGGGGCGGGCTCGCGCAGGCGCAGGACACCCACTTGGGTTTTTCTCCCCAGAGGTCAGAGGAGAGACCCCACACGAGGTAGTGCTTGCCGTCCTGCAGCTTCAGCGCCTCTCTGCACTTGACATGGCTGATGAACCTGCGCTCCTGCCCAGCCTGCACCTCATCGGAGCCTGGAGGGGAGCGAGCGCCAAGCTGAGCCCTGGGAAGGGGAGGGAGGAAGGAGGGGTGCAGGCAGAGAGATGGGGCGCTGTGTCTGACCTGACTTGATGGTCTGCTCCACGACCATGACGTACTCGTCGAAGTCCTCCGACAGCTCCGACCTGACCAGCCGGGTCTTGTACACTGTGGAGGAGGCGGGAAAGTCTGGGTCATGGGCAGGTTGCCCGTGGGGTGGGGGACACCCTCACCTGCACGGGCCCATGGGCGTGTGGGTCCCTCCCCACCCCACGCGGAGCCCGAGGGGTCTCAGCCAGGCAAGCTGCAGTGCACCCTCCTAGGAACACACAACCACACGTGGTCACTCGGTCACCATCCCACAGTCATGCTCAGAGGCATGTAAGCAATTCCAGCCGCCCACAAGTAGAGTCACACCCAGAAGTTCGTCTGCGCTGATGCATGGCCGTCCACAGCACTGTCCTGTCCAACCATGGCTATGTGCGACTCCCTCTCACAACCCCCCCCACACAAGCATGCACGCAGCTGTAGCCGCCCAAGACCCCAGCCACGCACAGAACTCCAGCTTCTCCAGTTTACTGTCGTCCACAACCAGAGCTTCATACAACACAAACCTCAAGTCACCCACAACTAGTCACATACACAATGACCAGTGACTCCCTTCCAAGTCATCCATGGCCGCTGTTGCAGGCAGCCACACAGAGTGCAGCCATCCGCAACTACAGGTATACATGCCCCTAAAGCTGCTCCCATCCACAGCCCTCTCCAGCCACAGCCTCACACACCACCTGATGAAAGGCAGCCCCGCAGACACGCCCCCCCCCCCCCAGCAGTATCCACTCAGGCACAGCTTCCTCCCAACTCCACCATGGTAACCATGGTTCCCCACAAGGCTATGCCCTTCGCAACACATTCTCACACACTAGTCACCACAGCCTACAGGCCCAGGGCCTGACATGCACACTGCCATCCTCGTGCACCCTCAGGTGCACCCTCATGTGTGTACACACACACACACACACACACACCCCACCCCCACTCACCATAGTCCACCCCAGGCTCACAGGCCTTGTCCAGCCGGTCATTCAGCGTGACCTCCTCCTCCTGCTGCATGAAGCAGTTCTCTGCAGGGTGGGGGTGGAGACTCTGTGTGAGCCCCACTCCTCACCCAGGGCTCACTGCCCATGGGTGTGGCTGGCCCCAGGGCCTATCCTTTTGGTGACCCCAGGGCATGGCTCCCAGGGTCCCCCTTTAGGGTGGGTGTCTCAGGGTGGCTCAGGGCGCCCACCCTCAGCACAGCGGCACAGGTCCTTGTGGCACAGCTTGCTCAGCATTCCGTCCTCCTTGTCTGGGTGGTAGAACTGGGTGCACGTCTCCTCTGTGGGCAGAGTGATGGGGAGGGGCTCAGAGGCCTGGCCCTACACCCCAGAGACCAAGCCTGGCAGACTCAGATTCCCAGTGCCCAAGTGCCCAGGGCCTGCACATGCCAGGTCCCCAACCCTCTATTCCTGAGACTCTTCTGATCCTTGGGACCCTTGGGCCCTGGGAACTTCAAATCTCCAACCCAAATATCCTTGGGATCCTCATTTTTCCAACCCTCAGATCCCTAAGTCTCAGATTCTTGGGGCTCTCAGAATCTTGACTCCTGGGTTGTTGGGACCCTCCTCTCCCCAACAGCTCATGCATCTATGGGACCCTCAGAGCTACATCTTTCTGTTGGAGGACTTTGAGCCCCTTAGAACCCCAACTCACAGGTCCCCAGGACCCTAAGACCCCTGGAGCCCTCAGTCTCCAGACCCTAGGTCCCTGGAACCTGAGAGCCCAAGCCCAGCTTGGCTGCTCACCCAGGTTGTAATAGGAGTAGACCTTGACAGAGCCCGGCTGGATGAGCCCCACATTGAAGTACTGGTGAATTTTGAAGGACAGACATTCTTCCTCGCTGTGTGAGATCTGGGGGGAAGGAGGTGAGGATGGTCAGTGTGAGGGGAAGGAGTTATGTGATGGGTCACTGATCCCCCGGGGATCAGGGCCTCCGATTCCCACCCAGCATCATGGGAACTTGTGCAATTTTAGGAAACACTTCCCCAAGAGCTAGAAAGGAACTGTGTGATGGTCAAGGTCATGAAGATCTCAGATTCTGCATGGGTTCATGCAGGGTGCCCTGGAGGGGGTGCAGGCAGAGCCGAGGTGGAGTAATGGAGGCATCATAAGGAGTATGGGCAGTGGGGAGGAGGAGGAGGCTGGGCCGAGCAGCAGGCCCATTCTCTTTTCTCTCACTGCCCACTTGCAGTTTGGTCTGGACAGGAGTCAGAGCTCTGCTGATTGGTTGGTGACATGCCTGCTATGATTGGCAAGTGGCTTTCCCCCTCCCAAACTCATGTTCCCAGGTGTAAGGGCATTGAGGTGCGAGGGCCTTTCAGGGAGATAATTAGGTCACAGGGCAGGACCTTTGGAAGGGATCATCTTGCAGGAGTGGGCCAGGTCTCCTGGGCTTGGATTGGTCACCACGACAGTGGGGTGTGGTCCAGGGAGTGTGGTTTTCTGGACTTGCTCTCTAGGCTCATTCCCACCATGTAACCCTTCTCCTGTACGTGCTCCCAGTATGACAGCTGAGGGCCCTTGTCAGATGCTCTCTCTCCTGCCTTCCAACCCAATTGGCCCTGTCTCCCCCAGCCTGGGGCCAGCCTGACCTGAGTACAAAGGTCAAGGCAAAAGAAAAGGGCAGCCAGATAAGGGTCCAGGTGCCTGTGGAACCTCCCAGGGGAGCTAGCAGGCTGACCTTGTCCAGGTAGATGAGGAGGGTGTTCTTGTTAGAGAAGGCTTTGCTCAGCTCGTACTTGGAGATGTATCTGTCCACTCCGGTGCTCAGCTGGGGAAGGGCGGGGCTTATGAAGAATCCCTCCTGGACCCCTGCTCTCCCTGCAGCCTCTTCCCCATCCCCATCCCCGAGCCCTTCATACCAGCTCGAGGTCATTTGTGTCAGGACCGAAGCCCGTCATCATGGCTATATCCAGGATGGACATCGTGGCATCCTCTTTTCCCAGGTACCTGGACAGGGCAGAGGGAAGGTTGTTGGAGCCCAGGGCTCTGCTCCTGGATGAGAGGGGTCTGTCTGACCAGGGATCGAGGCCTCCGATTCCCACCCAGCATCATGGGAACTTGTTCAATTTTAGGAAACACTTCCCCAAGAGCAAAAATGAACTGTGATGGTCAAGGTCATGAAGATCTCAGGTTCTGCATGGGTTCAGATCTCAGTGCTGTGTAAATTTGATCAGTTATTTGACCCTTCTGTGCCTCAGTTCTTCTAGAAAATGACAGGAATATGGGCAGCCCTTACTTTGCATGACTCAGCTACTTCAGTGAACTAGCATCCCATGACATGGTTCAGACCACAGCACTCGGGATAGTAGTCATCCTTGCCTACAGTACAGACCTTGTTGCTAGCTCATCAACCCACAGAGTGCTCTGTAAAGCAACATGAGCTCCGAAATCAATGACCAATCACATGACTCCTCTGAAAGCCTGCCCGCGAAGATCACGGAGCATGCATTTATTCAAGTAACACACAGACAGCAAAGCATGAAGCTGTGGCGCCTCTGTCCTCCTGATGGACCCACATGACACTTTACCCAGGTGGGTCCTGAAAAGAGGGAACTGGACAACAAAATGACCTTGCAGCAGAGAAATGAAGAGATGATGCTGGAAGTGAGCATCACCTAGCTGCAGAAGGTGGCAGGTGCTGAGGACGATGCCCCTGCCGCCAGGTGAGGAGGGGTAGTGACAAAAAGGAGGACAATGTCCCAGAGGAGGACAGGCTTGGAGGATCCGCTCCAGGGGAAAGGGACTCCTGAGAAACCGCATGACTTGGGAGGCTCTAAGGATAAAATGGAGCGGATCTGAACTCAGACAGGAGCCCGGCAAGGCAGGATGGGAAAGGAGAGCTTACTGCAGAAGCCAGCCCAGAGAACAGTGTTCACAGGGGAGAGCTGCGCAGGTGTGTGGGAAACGCACGAGCCAGCTTCCCCGGAGGCTGAGGCACGAGGACCACAAGGCTGAGGCCAGCCTTGGCCACTTAGCCACACTCTGTCTCAAAATAAACATTTTTTTAAAAAAGGGCTGGGGATGTAGCTCAGTAGTACAGCATCCCGGGTCCAATCGTGAGTACCCCAAAGCAAGCAAAAAATCATAAGGGAAAACACCTTTATTTTCAATGTTCTAATGTTTTAAGTTACAGAACCATAAAAACAAACAAAAACCCTGCCTTACTATATTTTTCATTTCTTACACCATTTTGTGGGAGTGCTGGGGATGAAATCTATGGCCTCCTGTGCGCGGGGCAAGGGCTCTGCTGACAAGCTCCACCCAACCCTCCC